GCGTATTTAAACGGAAGTTTAATAAACTAATAAAAAAACACAGATTATCAGCAAAAGCAGAAAACAACTGGCAGGATACATATGAATGGTAGAAATAATACACATATAGATGTTTATAATTTCCTGAAAGTATTAAAATTTTTATAATGATTTTTAAATTTATGCATACTTGCAAACATACATATTTTAAAAAAAACTTACACACAAGTGTCGCACTTCAAATAGATAACAAAACAAAAAAAAAAAAAAAAAAAAAAAACAATTGAAAATAAAATATTTATGTTAGTAATACTAAACAACTTCGTCTATAAACCAATTATTAAATACTATTAGCAGATTTTGTTAAATTCATTCAAATATTTTTTAGTTATGATTTACCGTTGATTTTGGGGTTGAACAAAAAACGTATAAATTACACAAGGTTATACCCTTTTCAATAAAATTATGTTGTCAGATATGTACTATATCGGTTAAATATAAAAACTAAACAAAATTCTGTAACATGTTGTATTTCTTGTATTAATTTTGTTTTCGAGTAAAAATTTATGGTAACTTTTATATCCTCTATAACATTCTTGTAATTGTGAAAAACCAAAAGAATCTTTTTTTCATGAAAACTAAAAGTCTGTGACTTTAGGTGTGAAAACACAAAAAAAATGCTTGTACAAATGTCTTTAACCACTGAAATTTACAAGATATTCGAATTTTAGATATTACTATGGGTAGTCCCTGCAAAATTTGAGGACACTAAACGTTCTTTTATATACATATGGGCCATTTCATGTGAAGTGATCCAACTCAAAAATTCGATTTGACAAATTTTGCACCAAGGTTAGTACTATTGGATAGAAGGTCAAACACAAATTGTCAGCTCTATCGGTCAAGAACTGCCGGACTTAGAGGGAGTCAAACTTGGACATTTTGGTCATACAGGGTTTTATTCAAATGAGTTCGACTAGGACTATAGACAAGATTAAAGATTAGACTATAGATTACACTAAAAATAAGACTATAGACTCATCTATAGACTAGACTATAGACTACTCTATAGCCTAGATTAAAGAATACTCTATAGACTACTCTATATACTAGACTATAGACTATTATACAGACTAGATCATAGACAAGACTATACAGACTATTGACTAGACTTTAGACTACTATATACACTATTCTATAGACTTGACTAGACTACAGACTAAACCATTGGCTGGACTAGACTATAGTCTACATATAGAGACTATTGACTATTGATAATACTATTGACTAGACTACTCTAATATGACTAAACTAAAGATTACTAGACTACTTCATAAACTAAACTATTGTCTACTCTATAGACTAAACTATAATCTGCTCTATAGACTAAACTATTAACTACTTTATAGACTAAACTATAAACTACTTTATAGCCTATACTATGGACTACTCTCTAAACAAGACTATTGACTACTCTATATGTTAGACTATTGACTGCTCTATAGGCTAGACTATAATATACACTATAGGCTAGATTATATACTTCTCTACAGTCTAGAGTATAGACTACTCTATATACTAAACTATAACTATTCTATATACTAATCTACAACTACTCTAAAGACTAGACTTTAGATAGAACTACAATGACAAGACAATAGACTAGACTATTTACTACACTATAGACTTGAATATAGACTAGATTAAAGACCGGACTATAGACTACACTATCGACTAGACTATAAACTGATCAATTGACTATTATTTGTACTGGTTGGAAAAAGTTCCGAAAAAGTATTGAATTTTCCATGCCATGTATAAACAAGTAAGAAATTATAGTCGGGCGAGGCCGACCATATAATACCCTACACCTGTTACAAAAATAAAATGTGATTTAGTTTTCATAATAAAGCTTTTAAGTTGAATTGTACCTTGCCTTGAATTATACTTAAGCCATTTATTGTTACAAAGTGATGGACATTGAAGTCAAATTTTAAAGGGGGATTTGTATAGGGGCTATGTTCAAATGACACCCTATAATTATAAAATTCATGAAAGTCATCAAGGCTATTATAGAACTTGGTTTTGCAGCTTTTTGTCGAGATACGAGTATATTAAACATAATTATGAACTTAAAATCCCTATTCATCGGGTACAGTTGTATGGGGTCTAGGTGAAATAATGGGCCGATGTTAACCATTTTCAATAGGCTTCGTCGCCGTTACCATAGAACGGATTTCATTGAACTATTTTCAAAGTTGCGACCTGTAGTTTGATTACAAGGACGGACATAGCTAAATCGACTCAGAAAATGATTCTAAGCTGATTGGTATACTTTAAGGTGGGTATAGGACCAATATTATTGTGCGTTACAAACATCAGCACAAACCCAATATACCCTCCCCACTAAAGTAGTGTAGGGTATAATTAAGCTTTAAACCCAGTAATTTAGAAGGAAATTTATTAAAAAACATTTTTAGATATATTTTGAATATATATATGGCTTTCATAATGTTGAACTTCAAGCCTTAAGGTACACTTTAGTTAAAAGTAGTACAATTTAGTGCAAGTTTTATCAAACTCTACCATATTTATATTGTAGGCAAGTAAAGTAAAGCAATTATATTTAATTCATTTTAACTTTGAGTTTCAATAAAATAAAAAAGTCGTAGACAGATTTAAAGATATCAATGTACAAACACGCAAAATTAAAATGCATACATAGTATGTTTGGATTTAATTAATTGTTTTGGAAAAAGTGTATTTTTTTCTTTAAATTTTTGCCTGAAAATATACAATGATATCATAAACATTATGAAAGTCTACACAACAGGCAAGCTCGTTTATAACGATCGTTGATGATCAGTAAATTCTTTTGCTATAGTAGATTAGAAGTTGTGTTTTTAAATTTATAGAGAGATATTTGAAATAGCACTTGGTTTTGCTATAAAACACATAGTAAGTGAAGGACGAAGGAGAAAACCATTGTGGTCAATCGCATGACTGCTATCCATAGAGGAGATAATCCTCGTTTCTGACCGCGAATCCGGTATTCGAAATACCCAGCTGAAGCCTGTTTTGACTTCTTTTGATTAAAGTAGCAGAATTTGAAGTGTATACTTTATGCAGAATGTAATGAATGTTTTTGTTTGTTTTTTCTGTCCAAAGTTTCCTAAAATTTTCATAATTTTGTACAGTGTACTTTAACTGAACAGTTCTTAAAAATTTGCAATCATTTGTTTTAAAAACATATACCAATTGAACTATACAAACAACATTTAATTAAAAATTTATCGACTTTTTGTTATTAAAATAAAAAAACTTGAGAAAAAGTTTATTTGACAGCATATGATACCCTACACCAATTTTAATTTCGAAATATTTAAACAATTTATAAATTAAAATAAAAAAAGTGATTTTCAGAAATATGCTTTATATAAAGGCATATACCTACGTGAATTATTAATTTCCAAATCATTTTGAGAACGGATTTTTGTATGAGGACTAGGGCCGATCAGTAAGAAAATTGATACTATCATTAAGACTTATATATAATTTGGTTCTGCCAATTTTTATAGAGATACTAATATATTTAAAAAACATGGCCTTCAAGGCTTTATTCGGGAGACTAGGAGAAATAAGGATCGAAATTAACCATTTGTCCATTCTATAAAATTGGGACCAGTAACGTGTGCAAAAGTATTACATGGAAGCACCGACGGACGGACAGAGCCAAATTGACTCAGATTCTAAGGCGACTGGTATTCTTTAAGAACTATTATTTTTGGGTCTTACAAACATCAGTACAAACGCATAACACTCTCCCACTATAGTGGTATAGGGTACAACCTATGGACTAGTGGTATAAAAAATTTTTTGCTCTATAATCAAGAGGTTATTAATCGTTTTTGCATCTGTGTAAAATGCTCTATAATTTCGGCAAAGCTTTCATATAAGTATCTTTCCAGAAATCAGTTAGAAATCAGGGTATTTAAATAAGTTTATTTACAATATAAATCACTGATGAAAGGTATCACAAGGTCGAATATGCCAAAAGTGTCTCCCGCTGTATTCTCCATAAAAATCAGACTAAAAAAATTTTTGTTAAATTAATAAGTTTTTTTTTTCTCCAGCTAAAAAATGAGACATAAACAAATTAATAAACAAACTCACAAAGAGTAAAATGTGATTGAAAAAAAGAGCCATGATAAAAAAAAGCTTTACTTTAAGCTAAGTTTAAGTTGACATTTAAACATTAATGAGTGTTTTTTTTAGCACGAGTATATGAAATTAAATGTAAGAGATCGCAAAAAAAAAAATAAAACTAAATTTAAGCTGTACAGTTAAGGAAGTTGCCAGATGTATATACATATATATAACTTTTTAGGAGATTTGATATGTTATGGAAATATTTAGTTCGTTTGAAAGGAGAATGTATGTATGTTACATCAAATCTGAAGAAATATAACTAGGCCTCCACCGCTCTTCTTTATTAGTATATCTGGAGGGAATCGAACTCATAGCATCTGGTCTAACAGACTAGAATACTAACCCCCGGAGGCAAAGATTGTTTCTAGCAATATAAAAAAAAATAATCTTTAAAATCAGTCCTGTAACAAAATTCCATTCAGATCGAAAGTGGAATTATTACTTAATAATTTAAATATAAAAAACAAATTAATTATTTTACTTTCAAAATTTTAAGTGATTTTATTTCAAAAAGTTGTTATTTCCACTTTCGATCGGAATAGAATTGTATGACAGGCCCCATAAAATTTAAATTAATAGATTTTTCAGGATTTTATGCAAATCTAAAAATAGTTAAAAGATATCACGAGAAGTTTCTAGATTACTCGAACCACTTCAGTAAACTATAAATATATCATAACAATCTGGCATCACCTTTACAATTACAGTGAGTAATTTAAAATCGACTTAAAATAAAATTAAGAGAATATAATTTTGTATTAAGCTTTTTTTTAAATTTTTTTGTAAAGCTTAAACGGTCCAGTAATTGAACAACAACGGATTGGATGGATGGGTCAACAAAACAAAAAATATATTTTTTGTTATTTTCGCATTATCAGTCAGTCATTAAGACACTTCTTCCATGTTCGTAACGTAACGGAGACTTATTACAAAAAATATTATTTGTCGTTTTCGTTAAAACTGGTGAATAAAATAAACAAATAAAAAAAATTATAAAAAAATACAAACATCATTAAAATATACCTATTTAAGCAAAAAAATAAATTTTTATTACAAATATTGTTTCAGATGACTATAATTTTTTTGTGTAAAATTTGTAATCTAACATTACATACAAATTCTAGTGCCTAATTATACTTACTGTTTGTTTTTGGGAAATTTCTAAAACGTCAGTATAAACGTCAAAATGAAAAGCGGGTTTTTTTGTGTTATATGTTAGAAAAAGTAGATAAATATATTTAAACAAAAAAATTAACAGCTGCTTTAGCAACAAAAGAAGTTATTGTGCCTTTTAAAAGTTATCCACAAAAAAAATTCCAATATATTTTAATAATTTAACACACAAACAGACAAACAAATAACACACTACAATAACAAATATAAATAAATTGTATAATTAATAGAAATTATTGCAATTAATTTGCAAACAAAAACCACAAAAAAATAATAAAAACATCAACGACCAGTCTTCGTTTAAATGGCTGCTAGTTAGTTGACTGCGATTAGCAAATCGTTTAACACCACACACACGCTTCTCTATATACAAAACAAAAAAAAAATATTATAAAATTCCATTAAACCAGAAACCAAAAACAGACAAGACACCTCTGCCAAAAATCGGCCAGAGTTAGTATAACCAAAAAAAGTAAAACAATTGCTTTGATTATTGCCAAAAAAAGACTAACTAACAACATCATCTCTCTATATATCATCAACATCAGTAAATAGCAGCAACACCAGTGTGTGTGTGTGTTTGTTTGTCTTTATTCTCCCCTCCTCTGTTGTCAACAACAAAACCCACATTCAAGAGACATGGCGCAATTTTTAACACTTTTGCCAGTTCTTCTACTTATTGGTGTCTTCAATCCGGTAGGTATTGAAATTTATTAAATAAGAAATACTAAAAAAGAAATTATACATAAATAAATAATTCATAAAATAACAATAATAAGTAACAGTGTACTAATGTTATTTAACAGATTTTTTTTTCTTTCGTTTGGTCAGCATAACAGCACAAATCAATTATCGGAAATATATATTAAATTTGTTTATTTACTGTGAATTTTCTTTACAATAAAAATGCTTATTGTTTGTGAGTTAAACGCAATCTGGGTAATATTTGTTTAAAAGATTATTTTTGTGCTTTTTAAAGTCAAAGAAATATTAAATCATTTCAATTATTTGTTCAGACGACTATTAAATGAACCATTGTAATCTCTATATGAGGGTTTATGCAAAGCAGTTAATATATTTCTTAGGAAAATTTTATATTGTTAATTATTTTATGGTTAGCTGTATATTATAGATAGATCCATTTTCACTACCAAAGATTTTAGCCTAACTAAGAACATTTGTGGAAAATCAGCAGCAAACGGACATAGGTTGAGTGAGAGTATACAAATGAGGCCCTGAAAATAGTACTAACTTGTAACAAAAAGAGTATCTTTTATATTTTAAAGTGCCGCTAGACTACAGACTGTATTATAGACTATACTACAGACTAGACAACACACTAGATGAATGGTTAGACTGTAGACTAGACTAGACTATAAACAAGACTTTAGACAATACGATACTGACTACTGATTAGACTAAGGGCTGTTGACTAGACTATAGAATACTTTATAGATTCGACTAAAGACTACTTTATAGACTAGATTATATACTACACTATAGACTAGACTATATACTACTCTATAGGCTAGACTATAGGCTACTCTATAGACTATACAATAGACTACTCCATAGGCTGAACTATAGACAAATATATAGACTAGACTATAGGCTACTCTATAGACAACTCCATAAACTACTCTATAGACTAGACTATAGACCACTCCATAGACTAGACTATAAACTACTCTATAGACTTGACTATAGACTACTCCATAGACTAGACTATAGACTACTCTATGGACTAGACTATAAATTACTCCATAGGCTACTATATAGACTACTTCATAGACTACTCCATAGACTACTCTATAGACTACACTATAGACTACTCCTAGACTAGACTATAGACTTGACTATAGACTGCTCCATAGACTAGACTATAGACTAGACTATCGACTACTCTATAGACTAGACTACTATATAGACTACTTCATAGACTACTCCATAGACTACTTTATAGACTAGACTATAGACTACTTTATAGACTAGACTATCGACTACTCTATAGACTAGACTATAGACCACTCTATAGACTAGATTATAGACTACTCTATAGACTATACTATAAACTACGCTATTGACTAGACCATAGACTGCTCTATAGACTATACTATAGACTATTCTATAGACTACTCTATTGACTAGACTATAGACTAGACTACTCCATAGACTAGACTATAGACTACTCTATTGACTAGACTATAGACTACTTTCTAGACTAGACTAGAGACTACTCTATAGGCTAGTAGATTACTCTATATATATACTATAGATTTTTCTATAGACTAGACTTTAGACTATTCTATTGACTAGAATATAGATTATTCTATAGACTAGACTATAGACTATTCAATAGGCAATGCTATAGAGTAGACTTTAGACTATTCTATAGACTAGACTATAGACTACTCTATAGACTAAATAGAGTAGTATATACTCTGTAGACTAGACTATAGACTACTCTATGGAATAGACTATTGACTACTCTATATAGACTAGACTATATACTACTATATAGACTGGACTGTAGACTCTAAAATAGACTTAGACTAGAATATAGGCCAGATTATAGACAAGACTATAGACTACATTATAGATAAGACTATATTGATTATTGACTATGTATGTAATAGGCTATCGACTATACTATAAACTAAACTAAAGACTGGATTATAGACTTGACTACCCTATACACTACTTAATAGACTACACTAGACAAAGCTATATAGACAACTAGACTATAGACTAGACTTTTGACTAGAAAATGTACTAGACTATAGGCTAGAATATATACTAAACTATAGACCGGACTATAGAAATGACTATAGACCAGACTATAGACTAGAGTATAGATAAAAGGCTTGATCAGATTGGACTTTCAGATAACAAAGCAAATTTTATAATTAAAGATGTCTTCTTGTAGTTATGCCGTCTTAAATAAGGTCAACAACGGTGTTTTTTTTTTCAAACTTTATGACACAATAGGTGGTGTATCATTTAGGGAAGTATACTTGTTTTGGTCTCTGGGTTAAAAATTAATCACCCGCCATGATATTTTGTAGCTAGAGGTCATATTGTAATGTATAGTGAAGATCGGGATTAAAATGGCAATATAGGAGAAAATTCGACTTAAACATGTTTTATAATAATACAAGTTTTTTAAGGAATTTCATGAGGATCGTTCCATAATTATCCTCTATATTATCCATACCCTGCAAAAACTGAGACTACTCCGCACTCTTGTGTGAAGAAGTACTTGCCTCTAATGTCATCAAAGTAAATGTCAATATAAGTTTTTGCTGGGTTAATATCATGATAAATAATGTGTATAAATTGCATTAATTTCTTAGCCCTGTATTCATAAAAATACTAATAGTTTAGTTTTGGTTTATTAAACACATTTTCCATACAAAATTCCTACAATAAACTATCAAAAATTTTATTTAGCTTTTATAAGGGGTTAGTGTTTTTTTATAGTAATACAAATTTTTACACATATTTTAGCATAAATATATTTGAGAAAAAAGTAAAAATATAAATAAAATATTTACATTTAAATTGATTAAATATGTAATTTTTTAACCTTGTTTCCTGTCACCTTCTTTTCTTCTTTTTTTTTAAACAAATTAATTCAATTTAAAAAAAATAAATATATTTATTCAGCCTATGTTATGTTATTCTTTAATGGGATTGAAAATAATAATATTTTTACAAATTTTAAACAAAATATTTGTTTGAATTGTGTAAATTCAATTATAGGAACAATATTGTATGTAAACAAATGAAAGAAAAATATTATTTTTAATTTGTATAAATAATACTACTACTAATCGATCAGAGTAGAGTATACTGAGAATTTAATTTAATAAATTTAACAAATTTTAATAGATTATTAAATTGATTTTTAAAAATTTAAATCGGAAGAGAAATATGATTAGCACATTGGAAAAACATTTTTTAAATTTTGTTTAATTTCTTGTAGATTTTTCTCTGTGTGTATGATTGATTATTTCAAAATTTACAAAAACATATTTTTTTTCATGAATGAAAGACTAGAAATGTTAATTAGTTGTGATAGACCATGTAAAGGTGTTGATTGTATGACACATTATTAACATTTATTTTAATTTATTTATGTTTTTTTTTTGCATTTGAATAGTTTTTTATAACCAAATTTTTGGTTATTGATTATGCTTAATGAAAACATGGTTTTATAGTGTGTGAGAATTTGTAAAGAAATATGAGGTTTAAGCGAAATACAATTTTAATTCATTGGTTAATAGTTTTACTTCGAACTTTTTGTTTTATTTAAATAAGAAAGATTCCCCCAGCTTGAGGTCAATTGTTTATAAAATATTCATTTATTTTCCAATATTTCGATATCCTTCGAAATCCTTAAAATTTTTATTTGAAAATAAAATATAATAAAAATTATGATGTCATACCTTTCAGATCGAAACCGACCTTCATAAGATCAGAGGTAAATGGTAAAAATTCCATGATTTTTAATACTTGTTCGACTATAATTTTTAATTTGTTTTATTTCCTTTTCAATTCCAATATATTTCATTTAATAATTAAATTCAACGTTTTTCTGAGGTTATCTGACATTGAACTTGTAATTTTTAATAAGAAAATGTTTGAACCTTTAAACAATAAAATATTTTTTTTGCATTAATACTTTTTATATAAAATACTAAATAAAATCAAAAGGGTTTATTACTTTTAAGACATTAAAAAATCTTGCTAGTTAATCAACACGACAATTAATAATTTAAATATTACCCAGCAAAAAAAGAACTTCTATGGAAGTACTGAAAAAGACCTGAAGAAGTGATGATTTTAACACAGGCTTATCATAGGAGGGATGTTATTTGATTCCAAATTCACAAAAATTGAAAAAATAGAATTATTTTCGCTTTTTTGGAAGTCTTTCAACATCACTTCCTTAGAAGGTAAAATAAATTCAATTAGTGCTACTTTTGAAGTGGTGATTAATGTTATTCTTGTAGAAGTACTTCGTTTCATTTTTGCTGGGTTATAGAATAAGGAAACTGTTAGCTAAAAATAAATGTAAAAGTATTAAAATTAAACATTAATTAATTCATTTAATTCTGCCTACAAAAATGATAAACAATTTTTGTAATTACTGAGCTCATGTATTAACAAAACGTTTATAAAGTTTTTGTTTGCAAATAATTTATTTCAATAAAAAAGTATCTTTTGTAAAAAAATACCACCTCTTTAACAGTAATTCTTGAAACATTTAATGCATTTTTTATACTATTAAAATTACAGTGGAGCTTTACTGTAGATTTCACTGTAAATTACAATTTAAATTTATTTTTTATTAAATAGCTTTATAACTAATGTTATCTTCATACCTGTCAAATATTTGAGGAAAATTACGTTTTCAACAAATTATTGATAGGTGTGAACGTAGCTTAAACTTATTCGATGCAAAGACATTGTTTGCATTTGTTCTAAAGTATGCAAAGAAATTCGCATTTTTTATTATGGTTAAAAATTTTCATCGTTAAATAAAATTGTCACTGGAAATAAAAGCGCTTAAATTAGTATAAAACATGATATCCAACTTTCATGTCTGTTATAATTTGAAACGATTTCAAATGAATCTGAAATTCTAGGAAATCTGCATAACAACATGAAAATGTTTATTTAACTGAAATAAA